GGTGTAGAGGTGAATCTGCTTGACTCTGCCAGCCGGTCCCAGTGGCGCAAGTTCAAATGACATGGTGGCAGCTGGGTGGAATTGTTCTCTTGCTCGCAGGTCTGGGAAATGTGTGACAAGTCGAGGTCGGGAGGAGCGTTGAAAGACTTCCGCGATCGGCTCCCTCACATCGAAATCTGATTGCCGCGTTGCTGTCGCCTGCCGCCCGTTGGAGCGGCTCCTCTGCTGCGATCCCTCTCGCATGGGGCAGGGTCGACGAGGGGTCGCAAGTTGTCCATTATGGACCTGGGTCGCTGCAGCCTGCTGTGTGCCTGCTGCGTGCGTGCCCAATGTGGGCTGAGGGCGCGGTCGGTGCCGCAGCTGTGGCCAGTTGTCGCCCCCGCGGGCTGGACGCCAGGCTGTCCTGGAGGTTGGAGTGGTCCTCCTCCTCCGCCTAGTCGTCGTCCTCCTCCTCCTCCTCCTCCTCCTCCTCCTCCTCCTCCTCCTCCTCTCTCTCGTCGGGCTGGTAGCTTTTGACAATGGTTCCGTGCCCTGTCGGGGTGCTCGGAGCTTGTTGGCTCCGGCGCCAATGTTGACCTCGCGAGTCGCCGTGAGCTCACTGCGTCGTCTCCGTTGCTGACGCCCAGATTGGGGGAGGCGCTGATGGGCAAGTTGCTCCGACTGAGCGGTGCCATGGAAGCTCCCGGGCCGTGGGGCGCCTCGGTTGAATTCTGCTACTCGGCTGTGTCGGGTGGAATCGATTACGCGTAGGAGTGACACTAGTCTAGAGTGCCCTTTGGTGCGCGACTTCTGGGGCGCCCGTGGGAGCCCAACGAGACCGCGAAAACCAATGTTGCCGCGCCGTATCAAGGGTCGGCGGGGCGCCTCTCGACAGATTTTCTGCGCCAGTGGGCAACCGCAGAATTCCGCCAATTAGATTCGAAAACCCAGAATGGCACTTCGAAGGTGCTGCGAAATCCGGCGCTGCTGGGGGCCACCGCGATCAATTCTGGCACTGCCGCGCCGTGTCGTGATGACGTCTGACCAGGTCCGGCAGCATGGCCAAACTCGGCCCAATCCGCAGGCTGGGAATGTGTTTGGACATACTGGGTAACTTGCTCGAGTAAAGACCCCCATTGCTTAAAACAGAGATTATCGGGGATGGACAGACCCCCCTTTAGTAAAACGTGGTTTAGTGAAAACGACCTGAGGCCCAAACCTGGCGGGCGCAGGCCTGGAAAATGACGGCCACGACGCCCTCTCGAGAACCGGAAACGGACAATTCACTAATCGACGTGTCACTGTTGGGGGTTATGACCACCCCCGAGATTAAAACAAACGAGGGAGCGCGCTTCATGGGCGCTTGCCTTGGGAACAGTGGGCGGCGCGTTGGAACCGGGGGGGGGGGCCCCCCGAACTTTCGGCGCCGTCGAGCAGAACCAGGGGGCCTCCCCTCTCCCCTGCCCCCCTCCAGAGTCGCTCCCCCCTCGAGGGGGGGGGTGTTCGAACCCCCTCCTGGGGTTCTGCGGGACGGGAAAATGACCACAGCCACTGCTTCTTGTTTGCGCCGCCTTCCAGCCGGCCGAAAAAGAAGCAGTGGTTGTGGTCATTTCCCTGGTGCCAAGCTCAACGAGCATGACCACAACCACTGCTTTTCTTCTGCGTGCTGGAAGGCGGCAGCAAAAGGAAAGCAGTGGCTGTGGTCGTTTTCACGCCCCGTAGGTTCGCCCTCGGGAATGCTAGTTCGCTCCTGGCCCGTCTTTATCTGTCCCTGGGCGGGAAGACGGCTCCAGAAAGGGCCGAAGCTGGGGCCAGGACTCAACAGACAATCAAGAAATTATCCCAGTGCGACCCTACATAGGAGTTGGAGTCTCTAGGAAAACAACATTAGTAGGAGCGGTAAACGCCGTCCTCCTCCTTCTCCTCTTCGTCGTAGCTGTAGCAGTACCGGTAGTAGCAGTAGTAGTAGTAGTAGTAGTAGTAGTAGTAGTAGTAGTAGTAGTAGTAGTAGTAGTAGTAGTAGTAGTAGTAGTAGTCGTAGTAGTAGTAGTAGTAGTAGTAGTAGTAGTAGTAGTAGTAGTAGTAGTAGTAGTAGTAGTAGTAGTAGTAGTAGTAGTAGTAGTAGTAGTAGTAGTAGTAGTAGTAGTAGTAGTAGTAGTAGTAGTAGTAGTAGTAGTAGTAGTAGTAGTAGTAGTAGTAGTAGTAGTAGTAGTAGTAGTAGTAGTAGTAGTAGTAGTAGTAGTAGTAGTAGTAGTAGTAGTAGTAGTAGTAGTAGTAGTAGTAGTAGTAGTAGTAGTAGTAGTAGTAGTAGTAGTAGTAGTAGTAGTAGTAGTAGTAGTAGTAGTAGTAGTAGTAGTAGTCGTAGTAGTAGCGCCAGAACCGCCGACGCCGCGCCGTAAGTGAAGCAACAGCAGAAGCAGGCAGCAAGTCGCCGAGACAGCAGCAACAGCAAGCAGGCACGGAGAGGAGGGCGGGGCACTGGGGAGTTCTTTACATCTACATCTATATCTACTCCTACATCTACATCGACACCTACATCTGCACCTGGACCTACACCTACATCTACACCTACAGCTACATCTACATCTACACCTGCATCTACATTTCCATCTACATCACCAGCGAAACTCACATCTACATCTACATATACACCTACATCTACACCTACATCTGCATCTACATCTACATCTACACCTACCTCCACATCTACACCTACACCTTCATAGCATAGCCTAGCCTAGCCTAGCCCAGCTAGCTTATGCTGGGCTAGGCTAGGCTAGGCTAGGCTGCGCTATGCTATGCTGCGCTATGCTATGCTATGCCATGCTATGGTGTTGCGTTGCCGTCGATTTTGCCTTTACTGTTGCCTTTGTTGTTGCTTTTGCTTGGCACCCAGGGAGCGCAACTGGGGGAACCGCGCGTTTGCTTTTACCTTTGCTGTTGGTTTCGCTTGGCTCCCAGGGGACAGGGGGAACCGCCCCGGGCGATTTCCACTGCCCGGCCCCTTTAAGCCAACAGGGTAAGAACCCTTCTAGGCAGAGCCTAGGTAGGGAACAAAGTGGTTCGGCTTCGAACGATCCCCGCGAGGAGCGCGAGGCGGGATGCCCATCACAGGCACAGTTTGGGCCTATAGCGGCCGCGGTACGCGGCATGCGAGGCGGATCGGGAGCTCTGGCTGGCAGCCCCAATCGGAGCAAGGCGAATGGAGACACCGGCAGCTCTAAATCGATTCCCAGGAGCCCTCACAGACAGGATTCGGGTCGGGCCAAAGGGGGGGATAGCAAAGGGGGGGTTTGAGAATCAGCTCACGTAGCTGATTTTCCAGGCGCCAGAGGCGGCTATGTATCGAGGAATGGGCCCTTTGTGAGGCCGAAATCAGCTGCATGCAACAAATTTCGCAACCCCCCCTTTCCCAATCCCCCCCTTTCGTCCGGCCCGAAGGATCCAGACGCAAAGATTTTCCGAGCTGCGTCCAGCCGTGCCGACGATCGGCATCCACGAAGGCCAATTACCGTTGTCTCATCTCGCCCTCCTCTGACTCAACCTGTCGGGTGTTTTGAGCAGAGGACGACCGTCCTGGCATTCCTATAGGCCTACCACGACATTCTCGTAGAACCCCCAATGACGAAAACAATGTCCTTATAACATAAGCACGATGTGTGAAAACAAGACCGTCCCAGCCAGAGAGGTTCTGAGAACATCTCGCGCAGACCAAAGAAGGTTATCATAGCAACCTTTGCAAGGCCTACAGGCACGCCAGGACGCTTCGCCACTGCTTGAGCGTGGGGAGGAGGAGGAGGAGGAGGAGGAGGAGGAGGAGGAGGAGGAGGAGGAGGAGGAGGAGGAGGAGGAGCATTCGGTTGAGCATTCGGTAGGTGGTTATACCCCGCAGGGTAGCGTCCATCCCGGGCCGGGTGGAAACACCCCGCAGGGCCTATATCCCCGCGGCTCCGGGGCGGGGGCGTTGTCCCGCAGGACCTGGCCCTGGAGAGCAGCAGGCTGGAGTACGGAGAGGAAGAAGACGGAGAAGAGGGAGGGCCGGGCGGAGGAGGAGGAAGAGAAGAAAGAAGAGGAGGAGGAGGAGGAGGAGGAGGAAGAGGAGGAGGACGACGACGACGACGGCGACGAAGAGGCGGAGAAGGACGACGAGGGGGAGGGAGGGAGGGGCCCGCAGGCCGGGGAGGGGCCCGCAGGCCGGGGAGGGGCCCGCAGGCCGGGGAGGGGCCCGCAGGCCAGGGAGGGGCCCGCAGGCCAGGGAGGGGCCCGCAGGCCAGGGGAGGGGCCCGCAGGCCGGGGAGGACCCGCAGGCTTATGCAATAGGCGGGGAGGAGGAGGGAAGGAGGAGGGCAGGATCCACGGAGGAGGGAAGAGGGAGGTACGCGGGGGTGCACGCGTACCCCGCGGGGCGTGGTAGTCGGAGGAAGGAGGGAAGAAGGGAGGAGGCGGCAAGACAGGCAGAGGTGCGGCCGTACCCCGCAGGGCGTGGCCGTCGGAGGGGGGAGGGGAGAGGACGGTGGGAGAGGATGGAAGAGGGGAAAGTGTACCAGAAGCGTCGTCGCTGGCGGTCGGCCAAGGGGGGCATGCCATGGGTGGCCACACCAGGGGGGGGAAAGAAAAGACGATCCCCCTTCGCCACGTGATGTCTCGGGCCCACGGGGCATCGGGTGCCAAGGGCCACGCGGCGGGGATTATGACGCCCCCCCCACGGCCACGACTCGCAACAATGAAGCCCCAAGGGGAGGCTCGGCGTATAGCCGCGTCGCACCGCTGCCATCCCGTGGGCACCAGTAGGCCCCCGCTACAGCCGCGCCCCGCCGAGAGCCTCCCTAGGGGAGGGGGAGGGGGAGGGGGAGGAGGATTTTTTGCTCGCGGGCAGAAGCGATAGCCTTCTGACGTGGCTAGCGCCGATACCTGCAGCCTCTGTAGCTGCAGCCCGTCTCTGTCGAAGCCTCGAGATTGCAAGCGAGAGCGTGCCAACCGAATGCTGAATCACAATTCCACTGGCTGCGGACTAACTATAGGTTGAGGCTGTCCCTCACCGACCCCAGGCAGAGAGTCGCTAGGCGGCGCAATCTGCAATATTATTCTGATATATTCACGGATAAGGCACCAAAGGACTGTAATCTAAGAAAGAGAGGCGTCGATGAATAAAAACAGTGAGCCTAAGCGCAACGCCCAGGTCAGGTTCAGCAGTATCCTTTACCACGCGCACGGCCTCCAAGACGAGGATCGGCACTCGTGGCGAGGGAGCGAAAGGCGACGACGAAGTCGGACTGCAAATCCACGTGGTCGCCGTCGTTGAAAGGCTTCGTGTCGAACGTCTCCAGCGCCGCCGCCCTGAACTGAACAGCGGTCTTAATCTCGGGCTTGGCGTCGGCCACGTTCGCGGCAGACTGGTCGGAAGACTCGTGCCGCTGCTGCACGATGCTCTCCTCCGACGTCGAGAGCTGGACACCATCGGCGGGTGGGCCGACAGCACTGTTGAAGAACAGCGGCACGAACTCGGGAACGTCACGCCTCAGGGTGTTCCTGGGCGGGAGGCTCCAGCAGCCCGGGGCCAGGCTTCCTGCCGGGACGACCTTGGCCAGATCCAGCTCCTGGACGCCAGCGGCGCGCGAGGCGCCTCCAAGGCGAGGTCCAGCGGCCGCCTCCGAGAGCTCCGCCAGCGATGCGTTGGTGAAGCCGCCGCGCGGGGCCTCGGCGGCGTGCCAGGCTGCGTTCCTCCGCCGCCTTGCAACTCCTGGTACTCTCTTGCCAGAAACTGCCATGCGGAGGGCGGGGCGAGCTGCAGCCTCGCGATCCTGCCAGGAACCTGGCAGCAGCCCACGCCCACGACGACGATCCAGCGCGGCTTCGCACGCCAGCTGGGCGCGCTTTCGCGCGGCACGGCGCGCCGCTGTCTGCCCAAGCTGCAGGGCTTCCAGCGCGCGGCGTGATGAGGGCTGCCACCGCTGAGGGCTGCCCGCCGTAGCATCCTTGGTGCCGTCGTCCATCCCCGCCATCGCGGTTCGCGGCGAAGGGGACAGAGAATGAGCCGCTCTCGAGCGCAGAAGCAGAAGAGCGAGGCAAACGCGAGCACCTAGCCCGCCTAGCGCCCAAGGCAGGCTTGAGCCAAAATGGCTACGGAAAGGGGGAGGAGGAGGAGGAGGAGGAGAGGAGGAGGGAGGAGGAGGAGGAGGAGGAGGAGGGGAGGAGGAGGAGAGGAGGAGGAGGAGGGAGGAGGAGGAGGAGGGGAGGAGGAGGAGGAGGAGGGGGAGAGGAGGAGGGGGGAGGAGGAGGGGAAATCCGCAGCATTCCGCTCTGGGCCTCCGTCGGCGCCCGCCAGGCTTTTAGGCCGCCGGCGATCTCCACCAGCTGGTCGAAGGGGAGGACGCCGACCTGCCCGCGCGAGTGCCCGGCGGGCGCGGGCCGGCGCAGCGCGTTGGGGGCGGGCGGCGCCGAGAGGCAGGGGGAATTGAGGGGGAGGCGTGGGGAGGCAGGGGGATTGAGGCAGGGGGATTGAGAGGCAGGGGGATTGAGAGGCAGGGGGATTGAGGCAGGGGGATTGGGGTAGGGAATTGAGGGGGAGGAGTGGGGAGAAGGGAGGAGGGGGTTGGTGAATTTTGGTTCCCCGGGGAGATGCAGCCATCGCCATCCCCTCCCTGCACACACCGGCCTGGTGGGCAGGAAATGGGCATTCTGAAATCCGCTCGGTCTTCTGCCTTCTCCGTCTGCCCCTCTCCTCCTCCTCCTCCTCCTCCTCCTCCTCCTCCTCCTCCTCCTCCTCCTCTCCTCCTCCTCCTCCTCCGCCTCCTCCGCCTCCTCCTCCTCCTCCTCCTCCTCCTCCTCCTCCTCCTCCTCCTCCTCCTCCTCCTCCTCCTCCTCCCCTCCTGGGGGGTGGAATGAGGGGGGCTCGAACGAGGGGCAAGGAAGGCCGAAGGAGGAGGGAGGATGAGCAGCTGGAGGGGAAGGAAGGACGAAGGAGGAGGAGGGAGCGAGGGAGGAGGACGGAAGGAGAGGGAGGGAGCGAGGCGGGAGGGGAGGAGGGACGAAGGAGGGAGGGAGGGAGGGCGGAGGAACGGAGGAAGGAGGGGAGGGAAGCCAGCAGGGAGAGAGGGCAGGGCAGGGAGGCCGACCTCACCGCGCCGCGAGTCCCCCCTCCACGCGGGAGCCCGCGCGTGGAGCGGGGGGGCGACGCGAGGCGGGAGGAGCGAGGAGGGGGCGCGGCAAGCCAGGCTCGGGGGACGAAGGGGTAGGATAGAGCAGTTTTTGTTGTTGGTCTGCGGGGCGAGAGCGAACCTCTTCCGATAAAAGCTAAGCGGGCTACGCACCGCTCTAATTGTTGGGGAGACAGGGCACAGGCGGGCGGGGCCTCAGGCGGCCGGAGAGGGCGGGGGTAGGATAGAGCAGGGCAGGGTAGAGAATCAGCTCGCGCAGCTGGCTTTCCTGGACCTCCTGGCGCCGGCAGGCACGCACGTGTCGAGGAATTCGCCATGTGGCGGGGCGGAATCCAGATGTAAGCATCAAATTTCGTGATCCACCCCCTCCCTCCCTATCCTACCCTGTCGTCCGGCCCGAGAGGTGGGCTCGCGTCATGCCTGACATCCTACGGTAGGTTCGCGTCTTGTCGACCGGCGGCGACCCCGCCGCGGGCGTTCAACGTTGAACGCCGCCGGCGACCCAGAATCGGTGGACGTTGAACAATCTGACGTTTCGCAAACGGCCGATCGTTCAAGATTGAACGATCCCCTCGGTGTCAGAGACCAACGCCGAAGTCACCACGACACGATCTGCCGTAGCCCTCCCACCCATCACCTCCCATGGCGATGTGTGAATTTTACTGCTGTCCGTCGACGGGTGTCAGGGTGGATCTGAACCCCCAAATGCGAAAGGGGGTGAGGCAAACCAGGTGGGCTCGCGTCATGCCTGACATCCTAAGGAAGGTTCTCGCCGTGTCGACCGGCGGCGATCCCGTCGCGGGCGTTCAACGTTGAGCGCCGCTGGCGACCCAGAACTGGTCGATGTTGAAGGATCTGACGATTCAGAAACTGCCGATCGTTCAAGGTTGAACGATCACCGCGGTGTCAGAGACCAACGCCAGAGTCGCCACGACACGAACCTGCCGTACCCCTGCCACCCATCCCCTCCCATGGCAATGTGTTTTCACTGCTGTCCATCGACGAGTGTCAGGGCGGACATGAACCCCCCAAAGCGAGAGGGGGTGATGTAAACCTTGGGAACTCGCGTCATGCCTGACATCCTACGGTAGGTTCTCGCCGTGTCGACCGGCGGCGACCCCGCCGCGGGCGTTCAACGTTGAGCGCCGCCGGCGACCAAGAATCGGTGAACGTTGAACGATCTGACGTTTGACGAACGGCCGATCGTTCAAGATTGAACGATCCCCTCGGTGTCAGGGACCAACGCCGAAGTCACCACGACACGATCTGCCGTAGCCCTCCCACCAATCCCCTCCCATGGCGATGTGTTTTTACTGCTGCCCGTCGACGGGTGCCAGGGCGGACCAGATCCCCCAAAAGCGAGAGGGGGTAAGGCAAACCAGTAAGGCTCGCGTCATGCCTGACATCCTGAGGTAGGTTCTCGCCGGGTCGACCGGCGGCGACCCCGCCGCGGGCGTTCAACGTTGAACGCCGCCGGCGACCCAGAATCGGTGGATGTTGAACGATCTGACGTTTCGGAAACGGCCGATCGTTCAAGGTTGAACGATCCCCGCGGTGTCAGAGACCACAACGCCGAAATCGGCACGACACGAACCTGCCGTACCGCCCGCTGGTCAAGGAGCCTCCCGGGTGTCCCACTTCACGAAGATGGTGCGAAACTCGCGCACCTCTTGCGCCGAGAAGCCGCAGTTCTCCTGTGCCAGGACAATCTCACGGTCGGGTCCAGGCGTGGCTTCGAACCGCTGTGCCTGTTCTACTTTTGCTGCTGCTGCTGCTGCTGCTGCTGCTGCTAGTGTTGTGCACGGCGGCTACGACGATTTAGACATCGTCTGCACTAGTAGCAGTGTTGGCCCCGTGACTAATACGAATCCTGCCTCATTCCTGTAGTCCTGCTGCTACACACGGTGTTACTCGACGACCACTGCCACATACTGCAATATCTGCTACGACCACAACCGAAACGGCTGCCACGACCACTACGTCGGTTACAAGGACCACGACTGCCGCTGGCCACAGCGCTTCTGGTCCTGATGCTACCGCTGTTACACATACTAGACTCTGCCGAAGTCACGCCTGAACTCACTCATCCAAGGACCAGGCCGCTCCAGGTCGGTGGGACTTTGCCCCTATCGCGTTAACTGAGGGGCGCAGCGGGGGCTAGCCCGGAGTAGCATAATCAATATCCAATGAAGTCCGATACCGAAAACGGCCTGCGTGACGCGTCACGCAGGTCGTGCCCCTCTTCTCATATACTGCGCGCGGCGGCAACGGATGAAGCTCTGAGCAGAGATGATGGGGGGCTCGGGTCGTAGGTGGAGCTCCCCGTGGGGTGGGCACGATCTGTGGGTGGTGTGCCGAGATGGGCGAGGGTACGCCATGCGAGCCCTCCAATTTGGGGAGAAGATGGTGTTTCAGGCGTGGCACACAGCGAGTGAGGGATGTGCCGGACTGTGCACGCGGCAGGGAGGGGAGGAGGGAGCTGGAGGGCGAGGAGGTGAGGAGAGGGCGCCGCGGATTCAAGACGAGGACCCAACATCACAGGAAGGCGTGTGGAACAACAACAGGCCGTGCGCGTCACAGGTCTGCCTCTAGCACAGGCGGAGCCCTTCCGCGGTTCCTGGCCGCATCGCCGATGCATCGGACGATGTATCGACGATGTATCGACGATGCATCGGCGACGTCGGCAGTGCATCGGCGACGTCAGTGTGGAGAAAATCGGGCTCCACATCGAACCGTATCAGGCTCCACACCGAGGTCTAGAAACAGGGCCTGTGTATTCTCCTCCTCCACAAGCTGCGCTTGCGTGTGCTGTTTTTGTTCTGTCGCGGTGCTCTCGGCACGATTTTTCAACGTTGTGAGCGGGGTGCTTGCCGTGACGACTGACGGCCTTGGCGCTGGATTCTCCTTCCGTTCGCACCGCCCGCCGAGTTGACCGGGCTTGCGCCATTCGATTCTCCTGAAATGTGGCATGAAATCCTCTGCGATCGTGTACGAGGGTCTGATGCACTCTTTCCCACTGTGGCGGGGTCTGAGGACTCCTCAGAGGGAGTGGAGAAGAAGAAGACCACCTCCCCCCCATCCTCTCCTTGCCTCGATCCACGCTGCCGCCCAGAGGCAAGAGTCTCCTCGGCACGCTGCAATTTGCGGTGGTACCTCAGGTCGGCCTCAGTGGGCTGGCAGGGTGAAGGACCTGGTGGAGGGAACATGGAAAGAGGATCGCAAATAGTCATCATGGCCAAAGCTCGCCGGCCCCACGGGCCAGAGGCGTGCTAAACTCTCCGGTAAGAATTTCAAAAGGTTTCTGGTTCGCGCGCGCGTGGCGGCCCCTGGGGTCCGCGGATGAACAGTGCCCCGGCAAAGTCCCGGCGAGGGCAAGGTCCTGGCAAGTCCCGGCAAGGTCCCGGCAGGTCATGGCAGGGTCCCGGCAATGTCGGATCAGAGATGCTGGAACTCCTGGGCGCAGCATCGGGTTCCCCCTGAGCGCTCCGAGGAGGCGCCAAAATGGTGGAACGGCCCACGGCCTCGGGCCAAGAGCGTTCCAGGATGGCCCACGTTGGTCCGAAGACGGCCCAAGATTTCAGGAGGGTTCCGAAAGGACTTCGAGAGGCCCCGCGAACGCAGAAAACATTGATTTAGCCCTGGCTTTCGAACGAGTTTGGCGGTACCGCCTCTTCGAGCTGCCGACCGCCCTGGACGGCCCACGAAGCCCCAAGATCGCTCCAACACGGCACCAAAAGCTTCCAAAAGGGCCACCACATGACCCAAGATGGCCCTAAGACGGCGCAACAGGCGCCAAGACGGCCTCAGGATGGACCCAAGAGGAGGTCCAGAGGGGGAACCCGAATAGAAATTTCAAACTCTCTTCCCCAAGAGGCGCCCAGGAAGCCGGCCCCCAAGAGGCCCCCAAAGAGGCGCCCAAGACCTCCAACAGGCCTCCAGGAAGCCCCAAGAGGCCCCCCAGAGGCTCCCCAGAGGCCTCAAAACTGCTCCCCAGAGGCTCCCGAGAGCCCTCCGAAGAGACCCCAAACAGCGTCCATGAGGACTCTGACCCACAGCCCAGGTACGTCTCGAAACTCTGCTGGAGCTCTCTTGAGCCATCTTGGCGCCCTTTGGGGCAGTTTATCGGCTCTCTTCGACAGGGTGCGAGTCACATCTCCAACGATCTTCTTGATGACAGTCCTGCCTGCCCCACCGTGCCCCATGGGTACGAGCACACCACCATGCAGCCACCGTGGTGCGAAATGGGCCGGCGGAATGAGCGAAGCGATTCAGTGAGGAGAATGGGGGCAACGGGGAAGAAACGAAGGACACAAAGTAAGATGAGGCCTATTGCAAGGGCAGGACGAACGATGTGGACAATGCTGAACACGAGATAAGCAAGACAGGTACAATTTTGTGCTGTCACGTTAAGTTACCGTCACGCTTCTCGCCGGCCGCAATGCTGACTAGAACAGATCGGGTACGCGACAAGCAAACGATACTGTTGGAGATTGAGGTGGGAAAGAATAGGACGATCATGAAACGGAAGAGGATTACGAGGAACGCGACGTTGCCGAAATAGAATCACTGCCAGCGCTGGCGGCGGTGGAAGCAATGATGGTAGCGGGCGGAACTGATCGTCCTCATCCTCAGCCTGATCCTCATCCTCCTCCTCATCCTCCTTCTCCTCCTCCTCCTCTTCCTCCTCCTCCTCCTCCTCCTCTGGAGTTGGGGCCAGCGCCAGTGCAAACGTGGGAGCGGCAGTCGGAACGGGACGCGGACCCAGAGAGTCGGGGCCTGCGCGGCTGGCGGAGCCAGGAGCCGGCGCTGAGGCACGGCCGCGGGAGCTGGCGTCCAAGGCACGGCCGCGAGAGAGCCGGAGTCGGAGAGAGCGAGCACACTGCCGTGGGGACCTCTCGGTGGGAGGCCCGCTCGAAGAGTGCAGATGTGAAGGGGCCCCAGGACACACAAAGAAATGCACACATATTCAAACAACATCCCATATTTTCCTATAGTTTCTGGGTTTTTGTCTTCCCCCCCACTTTCCATATTTCGCCATATTTTCTGGGGAATCGAAGATTCATTGTGTCTGTGCGTTTTTTCCCCTCCTGAAGATGGCACCGCAGGGCGAGGCCCTCTGGCACGACCTCTGCGGAACGGCCCGCGCCGACCGGAGAGCGCCCAAACCTGGGGGGGGGGCCGCCGCCGCCGCGCTCTGCCCTCGAGGCCGAAGGCGGGCGGCAGAGGGCGAGGCGGAGGAGGGGGAGCAGGAGGGAGGCGCGGACGAGGGAGCGAGGAGGAGGAGCAGGAAGGAGGAGGGGAAGAAGGACGAAGGAGGAGCAGGAAGGAGGAGGGGAGGAGCAGGGAGGAGGAGGGGAAGGAGGAGCAGGAAGGAGAAGGGGAAGGCGGAGCGAGGAGGAGGAACGGGAAGGAGGAGGAGGAGAAGGAGGACGAGGTCGAGGAGGAGAGGGGAGGAGGAGCAGCAGGAGGAGCGGCCGTTTGGGCCCCAACTCGGGCGGCTCCGCAACTAGGGCGCGGGCGAGGACGGAGACTGGGGCCGCGGAAGGGAGGGTGAGGAGCAGAAAGTGGACGTCGACGAGGGAGGGGGGGAGGAGGGGCATCGATCAGGGGGACGTAAGACCTGGGTACAAGGGACTCGGAACCCCCCGACGAGGTCGTCAAAAAATGACGAGGCCGAGCCTGCATTTTGACGAGGCCTCCCGCTGCAGACATCCCACGAAACTCCTCCTTGTCAAAATCCGAGGCGCGGTCGTCAAAAAACGATGGCGAACCCGAGTCCTGGCAAACCCGGGTCTTACGCTCCCCCGAATCGAGGGCACGAGGAGGGTCAGGCGAGCGAGGAGGGAAGCAGCGACGAGACAGACCAGGAGGAAGGGCACCGGCAGCGGGAGCGAGAGGAGGAACGGGCATGACGGATACGCAAGAGTAGCGTGTTGCTGTTGCTGTGGGTGAGGAGGAGCACGAGGAGATGAAGGATGACGGGGGGCGATGATGAGCAGGAGGAGTAGATAGAGGAGGCATAGTCATGGGGTGCGCAGGAGGGGGATAAGGGACATGATGATGGCTATCACAAAGGAGGCGCATGGTGATGATGGATGGTGGTGGTTATGATGAGCAGCAGGGGAAGGGAGACGACGAGGATCATCAGGGACACTGTATGATCACTGTATGAGCAGGAACATATTGGAACGTTTTGGCAAGCACAGCGCGCGGGGGAGAAGGAGGACAGACGCAACGTGGATCCCCATGCTCTCAATCTGAAGAAGGGGAGCGCCTCCTGGCCCCTACGCTCCCGCCAAACGGCGGGATGGGTGAGGGCTTCACCAAGAACGAGGAAGGATCCGAGATAGTCGATCCCGAAACGGCGGCACGCAACCGATGCTGAACCGAGGCCAACACCCGGGCCTCTCGGGGCCTCGAGACAGCCTCAGGAGGCCAAACACAATAACACAGGAATGTGTCCCTGCGGAGGTCTGTCAACTTCTCGAGGCCCTTGATGGAAGGGGCCTAGCAAATCTTAAGCAGCTGCTGCCCGTCCAGCGTCGCGGTGCGTCCGCACTTTCTGCAAATAGGCAAATCATGCAGGTCCCAGAAAGCCGGGGCGTGGGAAGGACGCAGGAGCGCATCCCTGACCGCGACGGGCCCCTGGGCCGACAAAACGACCTCGGACGCAAACTGGCAAACTGGTCAACCCCGAGAGCAGCGATGCAAGGGACTTGACAAGCCTCTAAAAAGCCCGCCCGAGAAACCAACTCGCATTCGGTGCGCCGATAATCGGTCCCGTGAACAACTAACTTGTGCGGGCTTGCCCGCACGGCAAGATCGATGACAGAGCCTCGCCTAGCTCTGTCTAATGAGGCATCTTCGTCGGCTCGAGATTTGCGGGGACCGCCTGAGACGTCTCAACTAGGGAGGGGGCTCTCCGTCGAATCAACGCAGACTCGGCGTACCCCAAGTCCATGCGAGGTTCAACGCTAACTGACATAGCGAGGTTCAGCTTCAGAAGCCGCTTGGCCAGCCAGACCATTACCAGCACGGTCAAACTTCGAATTATCTGAGAGCTCCGCGCCGTAATATTCAAGCTGTGACGAAGTCCCCCCAGGACGGTGGGCGCGAAGTAAAATGCGAATTTGGAGCCAAACATCCCCGCTCCGAACCCCCAACGACGAGTCCACCTGGCCCCTCTCCCACGCCATCAGGAGCGGATGATGATCCGTGAACTAACGCAGAAAACCGGTGCGCCTTCCAGGCAGGAGGCGAAAACCAGCAGCTCGGGCCGTGGGATCGTCTGGGCCCTACCGGGTAACGTACAAGAAACGCCCCGAACCGTCTGGCTTGCCCAGGGCCCCCCCCGATGGCGACATCGGCCGAGCCGCAACGAAGTCGTCTCCGATCGGCAGAAAACCGCCCGCCAGAGCCGCCACCGAAAACCGCCAGGGGTTCGACGGAACCTTCAGGCACTGAGTACGCCGAACGAGGGGAGGACTTCAGGGAGTGCGGCCCCTCAGATTCCGCAGGCTCCTGGTCAACAGGATGGGTCAGGGCGGTCGGGGGAACTCCGCCGAGCCACAGCCCCGAGCTGGCTTGGGCGCCCGCAAAGGCTTGAGAGTAAGGGAATCCCACCAGCCCTCTGGGCGTAGGTGGTTTAGAAAGTTTCCTCTTCCATCTTCCCTCTTCCCCTTCGGGGAGGGGTTTACCCCTCCCCCTACCCCCTCCCCTGGACCTGGACGGGGGGGGCCGCGAGGGGTTAGAGCGTCCAAGATGGCCCAAGACGGCTCCAAGTGGGCCTCGGAGAGCCCAAGATGAGCTCCAAGATGGCTCAAGATAGCCCAAGATGCCTCAAGATGGCTCCCAAGATGCTCCAAGAGGCCCCAAGACTGCCCCAAGACGGCTCCAAGTGGCCTTGGAGCCTCCCAAGGAGGCCCCCCAAGAGGCACAAATGGCGCCAAAAACGAGGGAAATCAATGCTTGTTGCTTTCTCGCCTTTTCGCTTCCGATGGCCATTCGAGGGCTCAAGATGGCCCCAAGATGGCCCAAGAGGGCCCCAAGAGAGGCCCAAGATGGCCCCAAGACGGCCCCAAAAGCGCCCAAGAGGGCCCCAAGAGCGCCTCAAGATGGGCCCACGAAGAGATTTTTGAGGCTCCCGAGGGGCGACGCTAATTGC